TGAAAGGCAATCCTCAGACACCTTATCAACGAGATGGGGATAATTTTCCTAAGCGCCAACATTTATTAGCTCTTCACGAATTGATTTTTTTAGCTTGACTTAACCACATCTATTTCCTCCGACTATCCACATCTGTAAGTAAAAATTTCCAAGTAATTTAAAAGAGTCTTAGTATTTGTTGTATTTTTACATCTTTGGAAATAAGTCTCGTCTATGCTTTTTGGTTAGCCTTCTGGTAACATGAATGTCACCGTGTGAATGTGCAATTGTGCATGCTTGCGTTTAATAGCTGAGATCATTTGATTCACTGACGTTAATGCTTATTGAGTTCTTGTGGCGCAAAGGTTTTCCTATTTTAGTTGTCTTTCTCAGAGCATCGGATAACTTGCCATTGTAGCGATACCGCACATATTCTTCTTGTTTCGAGCCATTTTGATGTAACCATGGTCTCCCCAATGTATGCCCCAGCTGTTCTTCACCAGCCAGTAGTCCAATCCGTTTTCTGTGCCATAACCTATCGCCAAGACTCCATGGTCCAGTTCTTGGCTCGAGCAGCGGGGGTTGGTGTAGATTCCGCGCCTACAAAATATGGGAAATTCTCATTGGAAAAATCGGGCTACAATTTTTAGGTTAATAGGCCATCCTTGGTGGCTTGCTCTCATCATTCGATGTCCATGCTTTTTAGAAAGCAGTATTTCAAGGATGAATGATGAAATATTTTATGCAAAGGTTAACAAATATGAATTTTCAACGTCAGAACCTGACCTACTTCTATCGCATGACATTTCTCAGAGTTGGCTCGCCGACTTCTGATTGATGAATCTCTTCTTTTGACTTTCGAGGCTGAATGTCTCTGATTTTATCACCATTATACCATTTTCATCATATTTATTAATCACATTAGCCTACTTGTTTTAGATAATTTGGGGTAAAATTATAGATTTAGAGATGCTGATTATCCTGTCATCCTTTGAGAATTTAATAGCCACTTCAATAGTAGGAGATTTTACAGAAGTGGATGGACATCATTTCGTGATTCAAGCAGAAACTAAAAAGGATGCAATTTTTCTTTGCATAGGAGGCGAAGATATGATTTAGGCTAGCCAATATACTAGCTTAATAATAATAATAATGATAATAATAATGATAATAATAATAATGATAATAATAATAATAATAATAATAATAATAATAATAATAATAATAATAATAATAATAAACTTAGGAAACTAATACTTACAACTGAGTAATATTATTAATTCACTCTATGTTTAAATGTGAAAAAAATTAGTAACCCGACGAAAAATTCCAATAGCAATGGTGGTAGATGTGATGTAAGTTGATGATTACTTTTGTTCCTTGAACTGTATATCTATGACGGAAGTGATTTACTAATCAGCTGATAATCACCCTTAGAAAAAAAACTATTTCTTTCAAGCTACATAATTTTAAAGTGACGCTGCGCTATTAAACTCACTTGTACATCATGAACCCTTGATGATCTGCATCAATGGCTACTGACACTGGGCCTGCGGTTGTTACTGCGATCTGGAGAGCCGTCTCGTTTCCTTCAGGCAGCTTCATTATGCCAGTGACTTTAGCCAGACCCGCAGATTCGTCGTATCGACACACATTGTCCTATTGTTAAATGCATAATTTAAGTAAAAATTATTTAAAAGTCATGACTGGTGGCAATTTTTATTTCATTTTAAAACAGAAATTATAGTAAGCCTCGAACTATTCTATAAATCCGGCTACACTTACAATATGGGGCTTTATGGTAAATGTCTCCCTATTTGATATATGTTAATTTCACATTCGAGCTG